AACTCCAAACTTCTCATATAATAAATACATTACTTACTACTTCAAGTTTTCGCCAGAAAAAGTCACAATCTTGCCGGAAAAATATGAATTTTCGGATTTAGAGATAGGAATTTTTGTGCCCCTTCCATGTATCTAACAATAATTGGATTAAAAAAAGAAAAAGCAAGTTCACATTTCCCAGCACAGATGGTACCAACAGTGAGCAAAGTGGTACTATATATTCAAAGAGAGATACACAAAATCATGAATATCGGTACTATGATTATTCTTATCTTATATTTTTGTTTTATGGTCAATAACACCTAATATAACCTAACAATAGCATAAATTTAGTATACATGAACAAAAAAGAAGGATTGTGATTACTTTATTTGTTTTAGGGTAAATATAAACAACAATATTCAAAATTCAATCCTTCACAAATCAAACAAAAATATATGAATTAAGGATGATTTTGAGACTCTAAACTTCTCATATAATACATACATTACTTACTACTTCAAGTTTTTGCCCAAAAAAGTCACAATCATGCCGGAAAAATATGAATTTTCGGACATAGAGATAGGAATTTTTGTGCCCCTTCCATGTATCTAACAATAATTGGATTAGAAAAAAAAAAGATGTTCACATTTCCCAGTACAGATAGTACCAACAGTGAGCAAAGTGGTACTATATATCCAAACAGAGGTACACACAATCATGAATACTAGTACTATGATTATTCTCATCTAATTTTTTTGTTTTATGGTCGATAACACCTAACATTACCTAACAATAGCATAAATTTAGTATACATGAACAAAAAAAAGGATTATGATCACTTTTTTGTTTTAGGGTTAATATAAACAACAATATTGAAAATTCAATCCTTCACAAATTAAACAATAATATATGAATTAAAGATGATTTTTGGACTCCAAACTTCTATATAATACATACATTACTTATTACTTCAAGTTTTCGCCGGAAAAGGCCACAATGTTGCCAGAAAAAAAGGAATATTCGGACAGAGAAATACAATTTTTGGCCAGAGAAACAGGGATTTTCGGCCGGAAAAAGCCCTAAGGTCGCCGGATTTTTTGCCTCCGATAAAAGCCCCAGGGTCCGGTTTGTAATCGCCAGCGAGATGAAGCTGCAAAAAAAATAAAAATAAAGAGCAGCGATGAAGAAGAAAAATGCAGGAGAAAGAGAAGAATAGGGAAGAAAGAATAGGTAAACAAAAAGAATAAAATAATGGAAGATAGTGGGATGATGTCATATTACAATTCTTTGTGATTTAATTTAATAGGAGGAATTTAAATGGAAGATGATTAGGAGGATAGAGAGTGAAATAGACAAAAATTAGTACTAGGGACTGAGTTGGAAGTTAGAATTAGGATTGAGGATTTTTAAAGAAAGCTCCCTGACTAAAATGAAGTTGCATATAAATATAATAGAAAATAAATATAGCATTTTTTACAATAATTTTTTTATTTAAGGTGAACAAAGTAATTTTTCCATAAATATTTTTCATAAAGCACAATCATAATCCTTCATTTATGTGTTACTAGGCCAACAAATTATCGAGTATTCATCTTACCTAAACATGTATCACAAATTTTATGAGAGCGCCTAATAGTTAAAATAGGTTATACGTTTTAAATAAAAATATATATTTTTATTATAATTATCTTATTTTTAGGCATTTTAAAATATGATATTTCAGTGTGGAAATTCAAGCTCACATACATTTATGTTGTGAAGTTTCATACTTTTATAAATGTTATTATTTAAAATATGTTATATTTTACTATGGACGCTGTATATATATTAATAAAAAATAAAAAAAAAAGGAAAAACTATGTAACTAGTTGGAAAAATCAATGCATTACTAGAATTCTATAATCTATCAAAATATTAATACCTTCATGAATTAAGCTGAAATACCGTTTTGAACTAATAAATATTTGTTATTTTATTTTATCTTTTGTCTTTTTTAATTAATTGTTTCTCGTATGGAGGTATACCTCTGTATGGCGAATGTCCCGATCCTACATGTCGACCTTCTGTACTCAATTATCTTATGTGTCGAATTCTGGTGTTTCGTAATATTACGTTTCAGTCTCTAGTATTTGGAGTGGTCACGTAGATCTATATTCTATCCATACATACTTAGGAGGACTTTTAAAATTATAAAAGACTTGAGGAACTTAAATTAATAATATATTTAAAAATAAATAATTTTTATATTTGTTATCCATTTTTCATATATTACACCAAATTAATTATCTTATGATTATAGAACACTTGACAAACTTAAAATAAGAATATTTTAAAAGTTAATAACTTTTATATTTGTTATCCGTTTTTCATATATTACACCAAATTAATTATTTTTTGACGAACTTCGACTTGTTATCACTTAATTTCACTTAAAAAAAGCTATCTATAAATTCATTATATATGAATTAGGAAAAGTATTATAATATAAGATGGACAAACCATACATTTTAAAAATCTCATTTTAAATACAAATAATAATGCAATATTTCTAAAAAGGTATTNATTTTTTTAAGAATTTCATATAAATTTTTTACACGGGTGTTACTTGTAATATGATATAAAAATGAAGCATACAAGTACAACAGTCAACAGGCATATCTTTCACCATCTTGTACTTTTGTTTTTCTCCCACACACTCTATTGATCTGATGGCTAAAATCCAGTTTATCTACCATCTAGGTAGGATAAAATTTCCCTCAACCAGTGCAAAATATTGAAAAAAAAAATGTAAAGAACATGAGAATTCCTCAATCAACTCAAAAATTGAGGAAAGAAAAAAATGAATGGATAGAAAGTGTACATACACATGGCATTTGACTTAACACACTACCAAACACATGAGATATCTTTATTTAGTATGCTGAACGGCCAATTCACAATACCAAGTACAAATCATTTCATCTGAATAGTTAGATCACCGTGGCTGCATTACAGCTCATTTCAAATGAACAAGTGGCAAAAAGGAAGAAAGAAAAGAAACAACAAAAATATTCGATTAATATGTTCGGTATCAAACAGTTTTTATCTCATGATATACGACAGGTCCGATTAAGTGGCCTTCAGCTCAATTTGAACATCAACCACAATATAATGGATGTGAATGATTTTGAATCATCAGCCGTGACCTGCAAATGGAAAACGATTTACTCTTTCAAGCAAAACTCATTACGTATTTGCAAAAAGGTGCGGAAAATATGGCACAAAAAAATAATCCCAGCTGGACTGCTCTTTAGAGCTTGGATCGATGCAATGTATTTTTTTTTAATCCCAAATACATCAAAAGGAAATTAGATGGTGCCCTGATGCAACTGAACTTGTGAGTACATAATTTGATGTGTGTAAGGGAATCCAAATTTTTACAAGCATTACATAAATGTATCACCCTTGGCTCAATTCCCTTGTACTCTGAGTACCATTTCTAACGGCAATTCTAGCCTAGAATTTCTAGGGATGTGCAACAACATTTCTCAGTCTCCCTGAACATTTTCAGCATCCGCTGATGAAGAAACGCGAACATAATAATATCTGATTGACCATCATGATCTACCACATTTGAACTAAAGGCCTAACTTGCTTGTTATAACAGTTCAAACTAAGTTTTCCTTAGCTGCAATTTTCAAAGTTTATCAATACATATTAATTCTCTACCTCAGTCTGGAATGAGGTTTTTTTTATATTTTTTTTAAACGGTAGCAATATATTAATCTCAAGGCAAAACAGTACAAAACATTATCTTGATTTGGACATCCAAACAACCTGAGATAGACACTTACACTCAAATTGGAAGGGGATAGTTTCAAGGCCCCTCCAATGAAACCCGAGAGAGAGAGAGAGATAATAATAATAATTATAATGATAATAATGATATAATAATAATAATAATACTTAGATTAATAGATTCTTCAATTTCTGCAGAACTGACATCATATAAATGAATCTGATGGCAGTATTATGTGCATACAAGACTAGAAGACATAGTCACATAGCTAGAATTCTTAGCCTAAATCTGATGGCAGCATTATGTGCATACAATACTAGAAGACATAGCTAGGATTCTGGGCATGCTTGTTTATATATTATTTCACTCACTTAATTCATACTCAAAATCTAACTCAACTTTAACTCACCCCCACTATCTTTAATATTATTCATATAATTAAATAATACAAAACCAATCATTATTACATATCACATCAAATTTAATTCACTATTCATCCACTCACATAATTTTAAATACCAATCATTTATCTCCTACTTTTACATCAAATTAATTTCAATCATTTTATTTTAAATATTATTTTAATACATTCTTAAAATCCCACTAACAAATAACAATACCACCTTTTTCAAATTAACTCTGATTAACCAAAATAACTCATCTTGGACGAATTATTTTGTAAAAAAGCAAGCCTAAGCCTTTCATCTGGTCTTCTTGAAGAGGAAGTGTAACGAAAATCGATCAGGCATATACAATGAATTTTGAGAATATAATTGGATAAGAATATAAAATAGTTGATGTGTTGATTTTGGAATAAAGTTGTGGATGCATGTAACTGAATATGATTGATGATTGAGAAGCGTAATATCACCCATCCACCCACAAGAAATGAGAAAATCGAGCAAACTAAGATGAACAAGCAATATCTGTAATAGGGTAAGGGTGTGTTTGTAAAACAAATAACTCAAACCAAATTATTTCATACTCAAAATCTAACTCAACCCCACTATCATCAATATTATCAATATAATTAAATACTAACAACCAATCATTAAATAATAACAACCAATCATTTTTACACATCATATCAACTTTAATTCACTATTCATCCACTCACATAATTTTAACTAACCATCACATCATATCATATCTCTCCTACTTTTACATCAAACCAATTTTAATTATTTTATTTTAAACATTATTTTAATATAAACTCAAAATCCCACTAACTAACTATACCACTTTTTCTAAATTAACCCTAGTTAACTAAAAAAACTCACTTTGAGTTAATTCACTCAAATTATATCTTTTACAAACACACCCTAAAGCTCCTCACTCCTTAATAAGATTTTTCACGATATTCATAGATATTTGTAATAATTACAACAATTCAAATCACGACTAATTTCCCAAATGAGATTATAAAAATATCTATCGGTGGCAATAATATAATAAAATTGTACCAAAAAAGTCAAAAAAGAAAAGCAAATAGCCTCAATAAATTGGTGAACACACGATGGAAACCTCCATCGTGGTTCCTATTTATCTTTGCCAATAAGTTTAGAAGGTCATATCAACTCAACAAGCAAAACAGTCCTCGATCAGACAAGGTAAGATATGGATTCTACATCCTCTTTAAAACTTGTGGAGCTTTAAGGCTAATATAATTCATATTTATAATTCATATTTTAGGTCGGATTTTGTATCTGAATTAGCTTTCTTTCCCAAATTTGATTTGCATGTTCTTCGAAAATTCTAGAATAACCTACATTGCTTTTAAGTCTATCATTCAACAAGAGCATCAACCTATAAGGCGGAAAATCTTTTTACCATCTCATACACCAAATTAAGCATTTTTGGGGCAAATAGTATTTATATTCGTAAAAATATACTAATATGTTGAGCAATATATATCAGTTGCAGCCGCCGCATTTCTGAGTTCTCGGAACTGCAAAAGGTATGTCTTGATCTGCATTTGTATTTTTGTTTCTAATATCCAAATGTAGTATACCATAGTGAAGAAACATGAGGTTGGATCAAACTAATTGCTAGGGCACATGAAAATTCTAATTTCTGTCAGAAGATGGGAAAGGTGCATAAAAAGGTGTTACTAGGTGGAAATACTGTTACACATGGAGTACATAACACATATCAAGCCATGCCGAAAAAAATAAATAAAAGCATTTATATATATAAATCACATCTTCAACTCAATGACTCTTTACTCTGATAATTTGGTATTAATTTCAGCAACACTGTACCAGTAAGGATATTATGGGTAACTATTGTGTTAAACTTGAAGATCATATAAGGAATATATAAGAACTATGGTGTTCAGATGAAAGAACATTAATGGAGCAGTTCACTTAGAGGCTAGATTGTTGCAATGTATATATATTTCTTATTGATTGCAATTTTTCCTATTTATCCATGAGACCAATAATTAATATATGAACTTTCTTTTGACTCTATTGGGCTCTATATACTTGACTTGTTCATTAATTCCAAAAATGGCATTTGATTGAAATTTCTTCAACAGTTTTTGTAAGAAAGTAGAGGTCACATATACCTGACGACCTTTAATGGACTGCATTGCATCATGAATTACAGCTCTAATAGCAGCAGGGTGAAAATAACTTGTCCTTGTGTTAAATCTGAGGAAAATTTTTGATCTCTAACTTCCAGACTACAGTATAAAGCATGCAGGTACTGTAAGTGATGTGATATTATTACACATAAACTGACGCAGATTTTTGAAAATATTATTAGAAATGCATGATTTTGGGGCAAACATTAGTACTTACAGCTGATTATAGAGATTATGGTGCCTGATTGAGCTAATTATCATTTAAAAGTTGATTTCAGTTATGGTTTATTTGATTTGACAATTTAGGATTTCTCCTTTCAAAGTTAGTTTATAATATGTGACTCGCTAATTTGATTTCTTTCCTTATCAATTGCTTCTAACCTCCATATGAGCAGCATTAAACAAAAGGAGAAAGAAAACTCCATCTCCACTTTGTTCTCTCTTTTCATTCCTAAGTTCCTGAAATCACCCGTTGACGAGTGGCTTTTGCCAGAAATGATAACATAAACCTCTTGTTCTCACACGACATCTAATTATCTTGCGAATTACAGATGAGAAACATACCAGAAGAATACAGAGGGCGGGGCGAGTTCTATTTCCTGAAAACGATGGCAGAGGAAATTGAAAAGGCTGATTATCCTCCTGGAGCAACATTCAGCCAGGAGAGTATGCTTTGTGTGTTCAGGAATTTCCGTTCAGTATTTGGCCCAATTTTCTCAGACCGCTGTCTCAAGCAGAAAATTAAGTCCCTGAAGAAAACATATAAGGAGTTCTCAGAACTGCTGAAGGAAGATAATATCTTATGGGATAAGCAGAATAACATTGTTTACAGCGATGACGAGCTGTTGAGTGTAAAATACAAGGTAAAAAGATTCTTCTCCATAATTTATTCTTCCTGAAATTGTTTCTTTTTTTCATTTTAAATGAAGCAATAAAAATTAAAGATTGCGCCATTCTGTGTGCTTTCCTTACAGGCCCGTTACAAGAATGGGGTTTTCCGTGGAGAACCGAATTATGACCTCATGTGTGTTGTTTTCGAGCGTGGAATAAACTTCGAGTGAAGCAAACTAGCAGTCCATGCATCAATAAACAGAGTATTCAACATCCAAACTACAATAAATTTCATGTTTAGTTAACTGCTATGTTTTCCTATGGCAAACACTGTCTGCCTCAAACTACATTTGACGGTCTATAACCGAACACCCTATTGCCTTTTATCATTTCATTTTCGTTCAAGTTGTCTAAACATTCAATTTATCATGGTACATTTGATATGTATCAATCTATTTGGTGACCTTATGGAAGTTATATCGATGTGAACTATGTATCCAATTAACCCAGATAGATAAGGATTATAAGATTAAACACAGCTAAGCCATAATCGTTTCAATTTGGACAACAGCCCATGGACACAAAAAGTGAGGGGAAATGATTTATCAAAGGTTAGGGAATATTCAATTCGACTAAAATCCAGAATCAATCACCATCTTACCAACTTGAAGAGCAAAATGACGGCCGAACGTCAAAGAAACGAGCGCACGGCTGCTTGCAGTGTGGTGGCGAACTTTATAAACATAATTTTCAGCTATCGATGAGAATATTTTAGAATTCAAAGACAACCTCAAGGTCGTCTACCTCATCCGCCTCGAAAGCTTCGACAACAACCTCTTTTGTTGACCCTTTTGGTTTCAGAAACACTATCTTCCCGTAACCCAAAGAGATTATACCACAGCTGAAATTCAAATTTGTAATCTGAGCTAAGAATTCTGGCCAGATGCAGGCACCCAATCACCCCAAATATCAAGCGTGATGCAAATTAACAAAATTCATAATATGAAATCATTAGCTAGAAAACATCACACCTTGGGAAAAAAAAATATAAAAAATAAAAAAGAAAATTAGGGCTTTTGTGAATCACATATTGGAAAAACATCATAAAAGAAAATTAGGGCTTTTGTGTGAGTGAGAGAGATAAGGGTTTTACTTTTACCGGGTGGAGCTGGTTTGATCGGCTCGTGGTCGGGCACGTCGTCATCTTTCATGAGGATGCGGTCAACCGACGAGGTCTTTGCAGGTCTGAAAACGTCTGGTCTGTTCACCGGCGGCAAGGACGGGGCTGTCCGATGGAACGGGACCAATTTTTGGGTGGGGGTTTTCTTTTGAAATTTTGATAAGTTCGAGGAACTTAATTAAAATTTTACAACTTTTTAATATATTACAATTACAATTCAGTTCACGGATCAAATTTACAATTGATCAAAAAGTTAATAAATGCACAATAATGTTGAGAAAATATCTATTTTCACTCCGATCTGAAGACAGAATCAGTTTTACAACTGCCAAATAAAAAGTTAACTTTTTCACCCTGTAAAGTACGAAAACAATTATGCGATAAACTATGTGATAGACAGACGAAGAAAATTGATAACTGGTAAATTGCAAAACGATTATGCGATCAACTATGCGACAAATATAATTGATAAAGTTTGAAATAATTATGCGACACAACGAGGATAATTTATAAAGTGCAAAACAATTTTGTGATACACTATGAGACAAGCAGGCGAACATAACTGATAAAGTACGAAACAGTTATTGGATCAACTGTGCGACAAACATGCGATCATAATTGAAAAAGCGCGAAACAAATATGAGATACACTATACGATCAGAACAGGGGAGGATACAACTTACACCACTTAGTGTGAAATAATTATGCGATCAAATAGGCGAAGATAATTGATGCGAAAAGCTATGCGTCAGACCGAAGATAATTGATAATGTGGGAAACAATTATGCGATAAACTATTCGACAAACAAGCGATATTAATTGATAAAGTGCGAAACATTTATGCAGATAACTATGAGGCAGACAGGCAAAGATAATTGATGTGAAAAGCTATGCGGCATACAATGAAGATAATTGATAAAGTGCGAAAACATTATGCGAAACGATATGTGAGAGAAAGGCAAAGATAATTGATAAAGTATGCGACAGAAAGGTGAAGATAATTGATAAAGTGCAAAATAGTTATGCGATATACTATGCGAGAATCAGGCGAAGATAATCAATGCAAAGCGTTATGCGACAGATATACGAAGATAACTGATAAAGTGCGACACAATTATGCGATAAATTATGCAAAAAGCAAGCGAACATTATTTATTTTTAAAGTGTGAAACAATTGTGCGGTTAGCTATGCGACCCACAGGCAAAGATAATCGATAAGGTGCAAAATAGTTTTGCGATAAACTATGCAAAAAACAGGCAAACATTATTGCTAAAGTGCGAAACAATTATGCGGTAGCTATTATACAAATATCTTGCAATTTGATACTATTATATGTTGCGCCCGTACACAAATATTTCATGTATGTTCACATAATTCTAATTTGAATCGTGGACAAAAGCCAAATTAGCTGGGCTCTGACTCTAGTTGTTGGTTCGTGAACAAAGTCGCCTAACTGCACAATCAAATATTTAACGAACTGAATGCTAATGCAGCAGAATCTATTGCTAGGATTGAGGACTTACGTTTACACAACTTATGGGGTTGGACGAACGGTTTTGAGATGGGTCCTTTTTGCCCATGTCCTCGCCGTGCACTTGCCTTCTCTGAGTCAACCAACCACTACCCGCTAATCTCCGTTTGTCGCCGAGTGCCATCGAGGAATAACCGAGGATGTTGGTTGCTACACTCAGTGCCTTGCTACGACGCCAAGTAGCGCACGTAGCCTACCGTGTCGCTGAGTTGCTGAGGCGTCGTGCTGCCTGCTGTGTCCTCGAGGTGCATTTGTGCATGAAGATCACGCGACGCGTGGTGTCGTCTGCAGGTGGTTGCGCGCTGGTGAATGCGAGTGCTAGTCGCCGATGCGTTGCCTCGTTGGTGCCGCTGTCTGAGATGGTCGCCGGTGGATGAGCATACTGAGTTCGGTCACTAGTGGACAACTCCTGGGATATATATATATATATATATATATGCGCTCCGGTGAGAATGGTTCTCAATGAAAGAAATAAGAATACATGATAGTCATTGGATCAGATGGTCCAACGACTAAAAAAATACAACATTTTATACATTCATTAAGGGTAATTTGGACATTATACACAATTACACAACATGCGCCAAGTCAACCCCACCACACCAAACTCTCTCACACACACTGGCACGCACACATATCACCACGACATTTACGCACACAAAACAGATGGATCTGCACCGCCACTTCCGCCCTGCCACGGCCGCCTCCGCCCCGCCGCCGTCGCCCCGCCACTGCCATCGCCGAGGAGAGCATCACCGTCACAGCCGCCTTCATCCCTACCTGTCGGAGCGTCCACGCCATAGACCACCAGATTTGCACCGCCGCTTCAGCGTTGCCACAGCCACCTCCGCCCCGCCGCCGTCGTCGCCCCGCCACTGCCGCCGCATGCGAGAGCGTCACCATCACAGCCGCCTTCATCCCAACCTACCGAAACGTCCACGCCCCCACCGGATTCCACAGACCGAATGCGGCCGGAAAATCGCCGCCGCCCGATTTCAGAAAAAGCCGGTTGGATGAGAACATCACCGGCAAGAAGCCGTACGTCCTCTCGGTCGGGCGATTCGTGACAGCAAGGACGATGGCCGAATTGGCCGGGAACACGTGAAACTGTGTGTTGAGATTGGGGACTTTGTGTTGAGAATTTGATATTTCACAGGGATCTAATTGCAAATTTGATAATTTTTATTATATTTCAATTTCACCCATGGGTGAAATCTGCAATTCTATAATAGTATTCTTTATATATTTTTTTATACATATATAAATTATGTCATTTTTAAATAAAAAATAATAATAAAAAATATATAAAAATATTAAAATACTAAATATGTTTTTATAATAATAAATAATGAAATATTTCAACTAATTGAATAATAAAATTATTTCAGTTAATTTTTAGTTTGAATTTGAACATAAAAAAACTCAAATTTAATGCACAACAGTATTAGTTTGCACATTAGTGAATGTCAAATTGCACTATAGCATTAGAAGGAATGCACATGAATACGTTTGTAATTAATTTATTTACATAATATTATTATTTATTTTTGACATATAATATTATATAATATTAAATAAAAATTCAAAATTACTAGACATATTTTAATTACATGAGTTATATAATAAGTGAAAAATAACTTTAATTAAAATACACATTATTAAAATTTCCTGAAATTGAGATGCATATGAAAAATACTCGATCAGTAGAATGCACACAAGTGTTATACTAGATGCACATTTGTGTATGGATGCTTATACTTTATTGTTTTTGGTATTTTATATACAATATATTTTCAACAAATAAATAATATAAAAATCATACATAATATTATTAACATATTAAACATAATGTTAGTATAAAGAACAAATTAGTTCGATTAGTTAGGATAATTCAGTTAACCGAACTAAATAAACAATTATTTATGTTCAATTTAAATTTGATTTAGAACAAAAGTTCGTTCAATTCAATCTGCATATAGGCCGACACCATGCACCGTAGTGTTGGACGAATTGCACATTATATTTTGTTTACATATATATTATTTTTTTTAATCAAACATATAATAGCAAATACAAATATTAAAGACTAATCATGTTTTTAGAATAAATAATAGAATTTATTTTGTTTATTTTGATTATTTATGTTAACCAATAAATTAAACCGATTATGTGAAAATTTTCAGTTCGAAAATTTATTTTTCATTTTGATTATTTGTTTTTACTTTTAAAGAGCATATCTATAAACAACTATTGTGAAAATCAGTTATCGATAAAATGGCATATTTATCAAATTTTTAATAATTTCGTATCCATATGACAATATTTTTTTTAAAGTGCACATCTAGGCATAATATTGTGCATACATTAATCTCTATTAAATTATAAATTACCCTTAAGTAATAAACTATACACATATTAAATGTTCAAAATGGCAAAATAGTCCCCTAGCCATATCTAATTTCCAAAACTAAGTTCTATCCCAAAACAATGAAACGCACATTCAGTTGCTCAATCTCATCCACGATTCGCCCAATATCAGCCCCAGATCCGCTAAAATCTCAGCCCCGATTTCGCCCAATCTCAGCCACAATTTCGCCCAATCTAAGCCCTGATTTCGCCGCTACCAAAACTCACTGTCAGAGTCGATGTCATCCCGCCCTAACCGCCACCATCCCCCCTGCGACGCGAACCACGAGAAAGCCTGAGCCTCCACCTCGTAGGGCTCCTCGCCGGAGCCTCCTACGGGGAAGGAGACGGGAGAGATGACAGCGGACGTCGGATTTTCAGGCACGACAGAGCGCCGCCCATTCAGAATCGAAGTGGCGGCCGAAGGGCGGAGGCGGCAACCACGATGAAGGCCCGAACAGGGGCACGGCGGTGGCACGCTCTGATGCACGGCGGAGGCACGACCAGAGTTATCTTCTGCATTGCGGCACTCTCTGGCGGGCGGCGGAGGAATGGTGGAGACACGCTAGAGGTACAGCGGAAGCCGACTGAGGTGCGGCGGAAACCGGCGGAGGCACGGCGGTAGTCTCCGGTAGGCTGGGCTTCTGTGTGTGTGTGTGCTGAGTGCGTGTGTGCTGAGAGTGTGTGTGTGTAGTGTGTGTTTGTGTGTTTGTGTGGTATAAATATTAAGGTTGGTAGGTTGGTGTGTAATGACCGGTTTGCCCCTATTGAGTAGTTAAATATGTAAATTTATCACAATGTGTATGTTAATTTACTATATTGCCATTAATGATTGGCGAAATTTTGACTTAATCATGACCATTGATATGATGTATCCAATGCTCTAGATTTGTTCTTATTTCTCGAGAAAGGTCTTGTCAGAGCCTCTCTTAGTGGAACGAGGAAAGCAAAGCATATATATATATAGGGGCTGTTTCAAATAAAAACTATTCCTGATGTGAAAACCGTGTAGATTTATAGATCTTACTAGATTTACCCTACGTGCTCAGGACCTATTAAACATGTTGAAATACATGTTGAAATTATGAGATTATGCCTTATTGATACCTTTTAGTTTTTTCCGTGAATGATTATGCCTTATTGATACCTTTTATTTGGTAAATACATGTTGAAATTATGAGATGATATGTTTGTTATTCATGTTTCATTACATATGAGTACATGATTTAATATATTCTGTGTTTGATTTGTTTGTAAGGATACAATTCTATGTCAGTCCTAATCTCAATGTCTTTGTAGATTTCAGTCTCGAGCATAGTACTATTGATTAAGTTTGAAACTATTGCCTAATTACATCAATTTCCGCACATAAGTTTCCTATGCGTATGTTTGACGTTAATCCTGTGCAGGTACTGCCCGTAAGGCGATCGACAAGATATCTGATCCTAATGGCGAGGGCGGCACACACAATGGGGAAGGGGGTACGTTATATGAATAGTTCTGTACGTTGTGTATATAACGGTGCACTTTATAGCGTTATCGTGAACATATGTGCTCGTATTTACAATTGTATGACTGCCTGTTGTTACAGGTGCAACGAGTCGACTGCCCGATGTTCGTAGAGGTTTGTGATATAAATATGTATATACTAGTCTCCATGATACTTCGATTTTCTATTGGCTTATTGATAACGATTGACATCCTTTGTCAGTGCCCCGACGTCGCACACAACTGCCATCAGTACAACAAATCGACACGTCCACGAAGCCTGATAACATACAAGGCGGTAATTGTTTATGATATACTCCTATGTATATTGTGAACATAGTCTAGATTATTCTTTATTACCTATCTTTTGTCTTTTATACACGTGTGTTGACTCCTCGTTTGATGTACAGATCCAATGTTGGACAGAACGCTTGTCGAACCAGAACGTGTTGGCGACCGCACGAAACGTTCAGAAGTTGTTGCACGCACAACGAGCCAGCCCGATAGTGATGACTTTGTTGATGACATACCTCTATCCCACTTGGTCGAAATTGCAAAATCTCGGCATGGTACCCGTCACAGCACAAGCGTGCCCTTAGTACATCAGAGTGACACTCATACGAAGCCCGAAAACACTCAAGAAGGTAAAATCTTACGAAATACCATATGTATATTAATGCTTATTCATGTTTTATATGTGTTTCCATTGTCACAAGTTATGAGGTACACTCTTCGTCCCCGCTGGTAGATTAATATAAGAATATTTATGGGTCTCGCCTTTGTAGTTATATGATTCAAAATTTTGTTAGGAAAGAAAAAACAAAAAAAAAATAAAAGAAAAAAAAAAATAAACTTTGTGTGTTGTACTCATACAGTGTCGAAGAGAATACTTGATGCACCGGAGCACATTGATGTCTGTCCAAAACGTCCCAAAGTTGGTGCACGCATAACGAGCCAGTCCGACGGTGACGATTTTGTCGATGATGTACCCATACGCTGTCTGGTTGGGATCACAAAACCTCAGAATGGTACATTATATTATTTTCGTGCTCCTGTAGTCATATGCATAGATTCGTACATATAATGTAGTTGACGTTTTGGCGATTTCATCATTGATTGTTAATTTGTAGATAAGGGCAAACACAAAACGACCGACACTGACATTAAAGCCAAACACGATGAGGATGAGGATTCTGATATTTACGTGGAAAGCGAAGATGATGAAGTGTTCCCGAGAGTGAGTACGAGGACTTCAGCTGGTATGTTTGTGAGGGCGATAGCTGGTCTGTCAGATGTCAAGAAGAGTGCAATTAGTGAAATGGGGTTTGGGCGTTTGTTGGATCTGAGCATAACTACACCGCCGTTGAAGATGGGATTTTGGTTGGTAAATAGTTTCAATCACCTGGACCGTAAGATTCAACTGTACGGCGGTGCGAAAGTACACGTCAAGGAAGAAGACGTGTATGCTGTGCTTGGTTTGCCTCGCGGGGATATCGAGATTAATAATAAGAAGAAGAGAACTACGTCTAATCTTTTGGATGAGTGGATTGCTCTGTTTGATGTTAGAAGACCGTCAAACATTACTGTGTCAAAGGTGTTGGATAAGATCAATGAATGCGAGGATGGCGGTGATTGGTTCAAACGGCATTTTATAGTCCTTATGGTATCGTGCTTGTTCGAGAGCTGCCTAAATGGAATGGCGAACTCCCGTTTAGTCCACGCGCTCGAGAACTTATCGGATGTTTGCAATATGAATTGGTGTTCATATATGATTAGATGCTTGGTCGACACAAAGAGGTCGTGGGATGCCACTGGTAAACAAAAGAAGTACGCAGGGCCATTACTGTTCTTGACGGTCAGTTGTCCTTTCATTGATTGATTCTCGTTTATTAATTTCTGACTTTATTTTTCAATTGTTGTAATCATTACTACTACTATTATATTGACGATGCGATATCTATATACTTGTTGCTGATTCATTAATTCATCTATTTTACTTTTTTGAGGCAGCTATTTTACGTAGACAAGGTAGTGTTGTCCGTGAGATCGGTACCGAGGATGTTTCCGACGTTCAGATCGTGGAGCAACGAGACCTTACGAGATAGAGAATGCGCCGAGATCACTTCGGGAGCATTCGGGAGGGGGTTCGTTGACGTAGACCTCAAAGTGCCGACCGATTCCTGCCACGACAATAAGTTGGATATGAAATTTGATGACGTAACTGCTGGGGTCCCAGATAATCGGGACGTACAGGTATCTATTGTTTTACATTTTGAGTAATCGTCACTGAATCTGTTTCATAACCACACTCGTGGTTTATACGAACACATGAATTTTATATGAACATCACCAGTACATAATTATTTCTTATTTCCATCAATATAAAATGTGCATTTTTGTATGTGTATAGTGCGATGCGAATGTCATTAATGTGCATCGATGAATGTTATGTGCACTACTTGTACATAGACGTGCTTGAAAGTGTGTTCGTATAACAGTGTCTTTATATAATGTTATTTATTGAACATATGTGATGTGCACTCTTTATGTATGTTTTTCTAATATTTTCATATTACGCTCATAAATACATATTGTGCATGTTCTGCAGTTGAAATGTGCATTGAGTTGTTCAGTAATGTGCATTATCACTAATTGTTGTAATATATGTGTAGTAATGTGCATTATCGTTAATTGACGTAATATATGTGTTCGTCAGGCTTATGTTCATGAGTTCGCGTCTAAAACACGGCTTCTTGCGACTACCGGCGTTGAGATTTTACAATTGGTTGAAAAGGCGCCGCAGTTTCTACTCGAAGATGAGAACTTCGTGAAAATGCACGAGGCGGCTCAAAAGCTTCTCGGCGTGTACAGCAAAATGCCACGTGGTAATCCGAACCAACCTGGTACTAGTCAGCAGTGTGACCCAATTGCAACAAAAGATGACGTAGTGAAGGACAACATTAAGGGTGTCGCCTCCCAACAGACAGACGATGCATTCTGGAACGCTCCTGACACATTGGCGGCAATCGATGAGATTATGAATGCAATTGAGCGTCGTGAACGCTTCAAGAGGTTGCATTTTGAGGGGCCCAGCTACAGCTTGGGGTTAGGTTTATCGTCAGACGATGATGTTGACGATGGCGTGTGTCAGCGTACATGCATGAGCAGAGATAAACACGTAGTTGGGACGTCACCTATTGTGGGTGTGCAAAGCGGTACGTGCTTTAATAATTCATACACTGTGTAGAGTTAGATTTTGTAGTGCGCTCTTGTATACACATCGTCAATGATGTTTTAACACATTCATTTGTTCATCTACGAAGTTGGTGTTGGCTTGTCTGACAAGACACCGACTGTGGAAGGCTCTGGACTACAAGCTGGTCAATGTGTAAATACAGGTATACACGTGTAATTAGAGGCACTATTAGTGCACCAATTGTATTTATCTTGCATTTCACTGTAAATTTTACGTGATTGTTCGTACACGTATATTTATATAATTTTTTCATTTTTTCTATTTCTTCAGATAATGTTGATGCTTTGGATCGAGTTGGCGATGTAGTCAAGACACCAAGACCGAAAAGGCTTATCAAGCCAGCGAGTGCAATCAAGTCTCCGTATAGAGATAGGGCGATTGATGTGACGAAAAAACTTGATGCACAGGAGAAAATGGTCGCTATTTGGGTATTGAAGAAAGAAGTTCGCGACGGGTATGATTATACATTATTCGTTCCTATTATAACGTACCAGTAATTGTCTATAATATTATATAAACGTGTGATTTTATATCTGTATACATTTCATGTTATACTGAGTTACTTCTTTGATATATGTATATATAAAAAAGGTATGCATTGTTATGCACGCGATTAGCGATGTCATTTTCCAATCCTCCAAGTATTCTGCGAAGAAACACGTTGTGACGTGTTTGCTGCCAAATTCGCCCATCACAAAGGAGCTCCTAGACTTGTGGTCGTGCATTCTGAACTATAACGAGAACTTCAGGAGTCGCAGCACAGCTACGTGTTTTTATGCCTCTACATCACCGTGTATTGAGGTGCGGTAACTTATATTATGGTAATGTTGTAAGCATGTGTTCGTTTGTGATTACAATGCGTTTAATCACATTAACAGCTCGTGTTTTGGCGTTGTCCGTTTGCAGCTGTTTTATGTCGGAAAGCGTAAAAAGGATGTTGGTTACAAGAAATTTGCAGAGACACTAGATTCCGAGATCACACGCCTGTCCATCTACCGTTTAAAGCAGATATCCACGGTAATCGAGTTCTCGAATAAAAACTCGTATGCTATTTGTTATGTTTTCCTTGTTTTGCAACATCATTTCAGATGCATATGTATGATTTGCGTTATACATTTATTGTTGCAGTTCCTATTTCCTGTGCACTTAGCGAATTTTTCGGGCTTAATATCTATGGTGCCAGAATCCCAAAAGTTCACCATCTTAATTAGTGCAAGTACTCGTAAAGACAATGCTGTTGATAAAGTAATCCTGTCCCGTGCCGAGCTTTTGGTAATATTATAATTTTCTTATAACGTAATCGAATGATTTTTTGTTTAGCGTGTTATAATGATGATGTCTTCCATTTATCACAGCGAGAAACACTCTCAAAGTATTTAGGCGAGATGAACTTGGTAAAGAAATCCAAACTCGTTGGGCTGTCTATTCCTGAAGTCATTCGCCCAGCCTGGACCGAGGGTGCTGATATGGCAGACAGTGGCGTAATCACAATGCGCCATATGGAAACATTTAAAGGTGTTTTTACTAAAAGCTGGAACCCACAAATCAAGCCGGTAGATAAGAGCCAGATGAAACTTATGAGGAAGAGATATAGCTACATCATAGCATGTGCTCCGAATAACGATCTACAAGACTCAAACCTTACAGAGGCAGCGAACTTCCAACCCGTGTACATGGAAAAGAAAGGGGCGTGAGTATGGGTACTTTATCGAGCCATTTGGGTGTTGACAGTTTTGTGATTAGACATCGTTTTGATACCATTCGGATGCTGAAGTTTGTCGAAATGTGTACGTGACGAAACACTTGGTGGACTATTACGTAGTTTTTGGTATTATGTGGACAATGCTGCCTGTTGAAAATCGATGGTATCGAACTATTTTGCTATTGTTATTTCACGTTGGTACCGTGTGAATATCGATGAATGATTAATCATGTAGGACTTTAATCGGGTAATTTTGTACTTGTGGTGGTTTCACGTGGCAGGTTGGTGATTTAACCGTATTTATATTGTGTGCAGGTCGACGAGTGGTTCTTAAAAAATGATCGTCATTTTTGATGGCAGTGTATGCATGTTAAAATCGTAATTTATATAAAGTGCATATTTTACACACTGTTGTGCAACAATGAATGAGTTATTGTGCAACATGCTACCATGTGACATTATCATTATTATTATTATTAGTATTATTATTATTATTATTATTATTATTATTATCATTATTAGCGGTAGTAGTAGTAATAGTGTATTTTTTATTTATTTTTTTTTTCACTGGTGTACTATGTACTTTCGTTGATATTCATATTGTGTATACATGTGCTGTAAAGTGCATAGTTGGTTCAAATAAAGTGCACATCCGTGTATGGTAAAGTGCACTCGATAATTAAATATACTACATGATATCTTTTTGGATTAATAACACCAAACTGATAGTAAGGGTCGTATGTCAACATGCATGTGCTGTGTCACGACACTTTATTAAGGTTTGATGTATTGTTACACGAACCGGTGATGTTGTTTCAACGGGATTTTTTAAGGTGCATCTCGTTCATGAGTGGAGTGCATCACATACGTGTTATTGTGCATCCGTGTCCGAACAATACATACAGATTCATTTATAATGTTCACAACACGAACAGCAATTATTTCGCATATTCGTAAAAAAGAAGTTAGCTATATATCACATGCTACATCATGTACTTATCCAAAGTATAAAAGAATATTAAAGTACCTAAGAAATTAAAAAGTCCGACAACACCGTGATTGCAAACACAACATAACAAAACGATCATGTCTGTGATATTAGTCTCGTGACGCAAATAATATCCGTCCGACTGCACACATAGTAACCACCAGCTTGGTGTCTTTGCACAAATAAAAAAAAAAAAGGGTGTCTTTACATTTTTTTTTTGTCTGTAATTAATATGGAATAAATCCAAGCATATCATATGCTATAGATGCTGACAACATGACATCCCCTGCACTTCCGATTGAAGGTCCCCAGCACCTGCATTGTAAACACGTACACATTAGTTTTTGTGATCGATTGCCGTACATTGTGAAATATGCGTACGTGTAAAACTAATATTGTAATGCACAATGTTAATCTACGACTATCGATAACACCAAATGAAGGCCACCAGGTTGCAACAACAGATCCAAAAGAAAATGGCCTGTTTAGCCACAAACATTTAAAAGTGAACAGCATTGTATCAAGAAGCAATTATTATAGTAATGTTAATTGTTGTACGGGCAAGTTAACTTCCGAATGATATAATGGTATTTTACCTGACTGTGAAATGTTGAGTTTACTACTTCTTAGGGCATGTTCGCGTGTTGTGTCCCGCCCTCTCTCCACATGTCTTGCAAAGCCTCCTTTTTTTATTGCTCGCCTCAATTGACTTCTCCTTGTTGGTCTTCATCCTTCTCCCACTGCCTTTGTTTTTCGACTGTGGTGGCGGGTGTATGCTTACCTCTGATGGTGCGGACATGCCGACGAACGATTCAAAGATATGTCCCCTGTCGTTGCCCGATGATTCACTCTCCCGATCTTCCATGAGTTTTCGCTTATGTGCCCCAACTATCCTGGAAAATTCAACAAGATGGTCCATGCGATTCTCGACCAAACCCATGCATATATGTATGTCGGACCACACTTGATTAACCATCGTCTTCCTTTCGTCAATTTGTGCGCATTCTTCAGAAATGTTGTCGAGTATACGGAACATAGGATTGCTAATAGCGAGCTTTGTCCACCTTGACATGATGTGTGGGGGTGGAATATCAGGTGCGTTCATATCCTTTAGAACAGCAAAGGCATGCCTACACAGCCATCCGTGCATCTCGAAGTGCTTACAGGAACATTGGCACGAATTTAGGCTTGTATTGTGCATCACCGTAAATGTCTTCCCACCAATGTCTTCGATTGTAAATTCCATGCATCCATCATGTTCAGACAATTTCGTAAGTCGACATTTGAAACACGCATCACAAATCTCTGTCTGCACACGATAGAATATCGTTGTCGTGTACACAGATAAGGCACATTTTTCAATCGACAACGGAGTTTTCAGCTCGGCCAGATGGGTTTCACAATCGTTTTGTAACTTCATTGATGTGTTCCGTTGTGCATCCATCGCACTATCAAAATGTAACAAGAATTCGACCAAACTAGAATGATTATTCGTAAAATTATTAAACCAATTATTCTCGCTTTCCGACCTCGATGTAGTTCTCATCAAACCACTCATTCCAACATCCCTGAAGTAAGCCGGTATCCAATGCTCTTTCTTAGCATATAGATCACTAAACCAGCTATGTGTGTCCAGTGAGTAATCCTCCATAATCGAAGCCCACTTAGTTTCAAATTCAACAGGCTCTACGAGTCTACTCCAAACAAGTTCGTTAATTCTCCGTTTGAAACTGGTATCATTATTCAGAGCATGGCCGACCTTATCACACAACTTGTTCATTATATGCCACGTACAATAACGATGCTTGGTACTAGTGAATACCTTAGTGAAAGCAATCCCAATTGAGGGATCTTGGTCGGTGACTATGTAGGTGGGCTCTTGAATCATCGCGTTTTTGAAGTTCTCAAACACCCACACGTATGAGCCCACGTCTTCCTTTGATATCAAGGCGGCTGCAAATGTTACACATTTGCTGTGGTTGTCTATCCCGGTAAAAGGCGCAAAAACCATATTATACCTACAATATATAACCACATAAGCAACGACGCATATTGTCTGTATAATGTACAAGTGTTATGTCGATATTAAGTTTGACATTACCTGTTTGTGCGGTAGGTTGCGTCGAATGACACGACATCTCCAAAAGAACTGTAGTTTCGCCTTGATATTGGATCAGCCCAGAACAGCCTTCGTAAGCATCCATCGGCATCCAATTCATAGTTGAAATAGAAAGCCGAGCTATTTTCCTGCCTTTTATAAAACTTGTCGACCACCAATTGAGCATCAGCACCTACAATGTAGGCAAGGAGTTCCCTCTTGAAGTTTTTGAAATCCACGTTAGTGGCACCAATATTCGAATACCCTCCGACCATCTCTTTGTACAGCTTGTACGACTTTATGGGTCCGATATTGGCTTTAATACAATTGAGGACAAAACTTTGATGTGCGACGGTCATGTTCCGATTGATCTTCAATTGTGATCTGCACTCATCAGGTATCATGGTGTGGTTATGCTTTTCCTCAAAAGACCGAACGACATATCCGTCACGACCGTTGAATCGTATCATGATTCGGGCGTTACATCCTACCCGGTTGGATACCCTACGTCTTCTTACACGATTGTCATTTAGCACTGGTTGTCCTGTTTTTGCGCGTTGTTTATAGCCTTCGCGTGAGCACACCAAGTATTTCCAAAGTACTGTGTTATCTCGTGATTTCACCAACGTGCTGTGCCTAGCGTCGAATCCTACAGTAGAAGCATACAGTTGGTAGAACTCGACTGCTTCATTCAAAGATCTAAAACGTTGTCCATTGTGAGGCTTCAGTGTGTCATCGCATTCGGGTATCCAATATTTAGTGCCCCCCGGTGATATCAAAAGCCGATGGTGCTGCGATTTGTCAGTCGGGCCTCGTTCTGAAACAAGTTACAATAAAATAAAATTACACTAGTAGAGTGCACACTTATTGTATAAATAGCGCACTATATAATATAAGTTATGCACTATAGCCCAACTGAATCATATGAAGAACCCGTATTTGTTCATGTGAAGGTCGCATATTGTTCAACTCAATATCGTACCTGTTTGGGTGTCGTTCAACTCCATATGTTGCAGCTGTATTTTTGCCTACGACAAGGTGAACGTATGAATACCTGATCTTCGTTGAGCCCGACTGGCTGTACTGGCTGCAATTTAGGCCCCTAAATTCGACGTATGAATATTAGTTGTAGATTGGAACTAGTATAATAATAACTGAAATACGTTTCAGATTTTGATTAAGGTTTAATATACCTGATATATGTAGTGAGGTTGGCAATAACAGAGTATAGATGTTGGATCTGAGTTTTATATTCCGGCGAGCTTGGCTTCCGGCACTCACTATCAGGGGGCGTGCTCATGCAACCGCTAAAAATCCGATCTCGAATGCCTGATAATTGATCAGAAACCTTGAAATATGCGAGCTATTGCATAATCCAGGTTGAATTTCCCATCGAAGATCTCGAATTTGCCGAGCTAGGGGTTTTTCATTATCCAATTCCTATTTATTTTCCCCCAGCTCTGAATTCCCGCAGCTATAGTCTCGCGTTGTGCGTGTTTCGCGAAATTACCGTCTTGCCCTGCTAGTTGATTTGGCGTGAATATTTAGTTGCTCTTATCGGTCCGTCCAATCCTATTGATCCTGTGGTGATCGTGTATTCTTATTTCTGACGTTTAGTACCTTTCTCACCGGAGCGTGCCTCTATATATATATATATATATATATATTTGTTGGGTTATAGAATATAAGACCTTTTGATCTTCTATTGTATAACCGATCACTTACTCTGATTTGTTGTGGTAGACGGCTTGTCGAATCTCCCGAACCTGTCACAAAGTCACACGATTTTCCTCTATATTTTGCTCTTGGTTTTGGTCTTGTTTTCTTGCTCAAGAAAATTAAACTCATGTGTGATCTATGTCTTTGAGGCTAAGACTTGATTTATTAATAAGAAACAATAGGGACCCTAAGGAGATGCTAAATATAGGCTCCCTAATTGTGCATCCAATTGTGGGCCAATCCCACTCCACACACAACTGGATAATATTAAATATCATTAAAATAATATTATTGAAGTCACCATTTAGTCACTGAATTATAAATAATTCACCTCCGGCTAATTGCTCGATTTACCTCCACATATTTAATATCTAACATTCGATGATTAATTTAAATACTAAAAATATAATAAATCAACTTCTATATTCGAAACTAGTACCATTCAGTTTTTTATTATTATGTTGAAAACTAATCCACATGCAAAGCTTAACATAACAATCATTTTTTATCTTATTTAGGGGACGTCATCAACCCGGCGGAACGGGACACAGTGACCATAAACAATTTCTACAACACATCATGTACTCGGTATTACTTACCAAAGTACGGAGCTTGTCGACCTACCAGAATAAATCTCATCCATGGTATATTAAATTAATAATTATGGAATACACATGCTTGTTTCTATTGTCTTACGGATTAAGTGGACACATTAATTACTGAGGTCAAGATTATTTACTTGATCAATATAATATAATCTTCTCTTCTGTAGGTCCGTTTAATACATTCAAGATATACTAGTCTAATTCTTTAGTCAAAGACCAACTAATTCAAAATCACGCTACAACCTTTCACGACAGTTAGTTCAATTCTGTCCAGGATGTGAGCATATCACCGGGCAGTTTGATACGAAACGAATTAGGCGGATGGATCAAGGGTTGAATATTGGCTTTGCACCATTACGGGAGCAGAACTCTGGGGCCTATTTTAGGGGTTACAATTGGCTTGGGACATGGGATATCGCCAAGTTATTGCGGAGGTTGATAACTAGTGCATGACAAAAATGGTGTTGAGCCCCGACGGTTCCTTTGGAACCCATGACGTGATGGTAAAGGCTATCTGTAGTTTGATGAAACGAGCGTGGAACGTGCGTCTCCACATATACAAAGAGAAGTAAATTTTTCGGCTGACCGCTTAGCGAGCATGGCGGTTTCTTCTCCGATTGGTTTGCAGAGGTTGTCCTCGCCTCCATTAGGAATGGGTACTTGGCGAACATGACATTACAGGGGTATCGTATTCCCGTCGTGTTCTAGCTCCGTAATTTTTCTACGCCTTTGG